GTTTCGGAATTTTTTTATAAATAAGCACATATTAATTGAACTACTGAATTTATTCCATTTGGTTGTTATACACTGTATAATGGTTGACGTTAGTAACAAGTAAAAATTAATCAATTTTTTCTATAATTATTCCACTAACTTTTACACATAATTTACTTATTACTAATGCAAACTTCAGGAAGAACGAAACATCAAATTCTGATTCAGACCTTCAGAATTAGTTATTTCCAGTTTCTTAAAAGTCCGTTTTCTCGATATAATTATAGTTCATCCCTTTTTCACCTACGGAATGAATATAAATTGAAAATTTTCTTTCACAATCACGATATACATATTTTAATCAAAACTAATCTATTTGTTTTGAAATTAAATTCAAATTGAGGCAAAAACATACATATATGTAACGAGCTTTGTATTTTTTTATATTCCAACATATCGATTATACAAGAACATGTAATTTATTTTTAAAATATACTCGAATCTAATTTAAAAGTATCGAAACAGTACGAAAGCGGACTTTTAAACAGTTTAGAGTGAACTGAATAAACATTAGGGTGGTTCGTTTTCTAGGATCCTTGATTTGATCGGTGGCAGTCCCTAAAGTGGTTCAAAATGATGAATACGAAATTCTCATAAAATAGTTTTGAAATTGAAATTTAAAATTTTGGTGAGCGCGCCACAGTACTAATTTTATTTTTACGAGCATGCTTTGTTTTACTGTTACCTATCACATAAAATTTAATAGAATTATTGTGTGAAAAATATTTTTAAGGTACAGAAGAGCGTCGATAATTCGGACGTCAAAAATCCGGACCGTCGTTAATCCGGTTTCAATTCCGGTGAAAAACAAAAAAAAGTTGAAGTGAATACATACAGCATATTTTTCAAACAAAAGAGTCGATGCGACAGGCTGGGTAGGGTCTTGAATAAATTCATATTAATTAATGATTTTGTTTATCTGCTCAATAATTTAACCACAAAACGGTTTTAGCAAGTTTTTTTTTTGTTATGAATTCAAACAAACGATCTTTTTTTGAGTCTTTTCGAAAATCCGAGACAGTAAAACTTCAAATAAAACTGTAAGCGACACTATTTCTTATTATTCAATTTCAAAAATATCAACTTTAGGGGAAGCATTAAAAAGATAAAAACAAAGCTCTACAGATTCGGAAAAAGAATTTGAGAAACAGATTTTACAATGGATTAAAGCGACTGGTCTGAAAATATATGACAGATTTATGCGAAGAATAATGCAGTAGTTGATTTTGTCAGTCTACATGTCGTAGGCGCGTAGCCGAATATAGTATTTACAATTATTGTGACTTATCAGTGCCAGATCAATCACAAATCAGTTCACTAAAGAGATCTGAGATAAAATAATTTCGAAATAAAACAAATTACAAATTTCAAAGTGACCTTTTTGGATTTTCTCGATTCTAGAAACAATACATTTGTTTATTATTGGAATTGGAAGAACCTACATTTAGAACAATTTCTATGGGGGCTAAGATAGGCTAAGGCGCTTCAGGGTGTCTACAGCTCGAAGGGATCGAAAGCCTGTATCTGACTAAGAACGGGCTACCTCGGGGATCCTTATCGGGCATTCCGACTCAAAGGACACCTTAGTAAACTTGGACTAGCAGAAGATAGTGAGTGCAAGTTCTTTGAGATGGATAATGAAATCTCTATTCACATTCTGACTGAACGTGTGGCACTACAGAATACAGATGCACTATACTTGGGATCATCCCAAATAGAAGAGGCCAACCAGCCCAGCTTCGAGCCACTCCAAATCTTAAACTTCTTGGATAGCTAGAATTCGAAAGATCGTTATAAATGTCGAGACTAATCCTTTGTTGCATTAGCGATAGAAGAGGGAACAATAGGTCGCAGTATGTCTGTCAAACATAACATAGCACATACTGCATTTGAAACAGACTAATAATAATTATTATGATTATAAATACACTCACTGACTTAAAATTCGATCCATTCAAAATAATAATGTATTTAAAAATGCTCTAACTTTCAAATGCGGAGGCTGATTTATTTGAAGTTTTTAGCAACTTTTAGATAAAATTCCGTAGTTTTAAGATTATTATTCCGACATCTAAAAGTAATTTAGTACTCGCCGCATATACAGGGGAGAAGAGAAAACAATTTTTTTCTCTACTTTTGACACGCCCTGTAGGTTAATTCTGCTAGTAGATCTGCACACAATTAACTTTATCAAGAAGACTGATTTGTTTCAAACACTTTTTTTTTATTTATCCCGATATCTTAATTTGTTTATGAAATGTGACGGTTTAAAGAAAATGCTACATTTTAGAAACGGTCTTAATTTAAATGACGGTAGAGAATAAACTACAAAATAAGTAGAGTGCTGTAGCCAACTCACAATATGACAACTGTCAAATATTCGTTACTTGGCAATTGCAGTTTAATTATCAGCATAACAAATATTCATTATCAGCATACCATCATGGTTTTAACGCCTACTGATGCAGCACGAGCAGTTGTTCTGGTACAAGACGGTAGGTCTCAGTATTATGCTTCTAGAATATTGGGTGTTACAAGGTGTAGCGTCCAGTGAGCTGTACAACGTTTCAATGAAACTGGTAGTTTTTCGAGACAAAGAGGATCTGGCAAACGACGTTCTACAAATGTTCGAGATGATCGTTTTGTAACATTAAATGTTTTGCGAGAAAGAAATACTACTGCTGCCATGGCTCGAAATCGTTTAGAAGAAGTACGTCAAGTAGCTGAAATAACGATTCGAAGGCGATTACGAGAACATGGATTACGCTCCAGAAGGCCTGCAACTGGTCCGGAGTTACTTAGGAATCACAGAACAGCACGTCTTCGATTTGCCAGGAAGCATCAACATTGGAATGTCGATGACTGGAGTAAGATTTTATTTTCAGATGAGTCAAGGTTTTGTTTACGTTCTCCTGATGGCCGTGAAAGAATATACCGAAGAAAATGCGAAAGATTTGACCAAGCAAATTTTTCCACAAGACTCAGTTATGGAGGAGGATCGGTAATGGTTTGGGGCGGCATAAGCATGGAAACTCGTACTGATTTAGTCATTGTTGGCGGCGGAGCAATGACAGCTAACCGATATATTCGTGATGTGCTAGATCCACATGTAATTCCATTTGCACCGTTTATAGGAAACGAATTCATGTTTATGCATGACAACGCTCGATCACATATTGTGAGGATCTCAATATTTGGACGAAACAGAAATTCAAAGGATGAACTGGCCATCACGTAGCCCAGACCTCAATCCAATTGAGCACGTCTGGGACATGATGGACAGACGAGTTCATAACCGAGTTCCTTCTCCAAGTAATTTAAATTTTTTGAGAGATGCTTTGGTCCAAGAATGGGATCAGATTGACCAGATGGAGATTCGACATCTAATAGAGGGTATGCCACGACGCATTGAGGCAGTTATTCGCGCTCGTGGGGGAAATACCCGTTATTAATTTGTAATAATTATTAGTTTTATTTGTTGTTTGATATGTTTATAAAATTATGTATTACTCTGCTAAAACTGAATAAAAAAATTAAGAACGTTGTATTTTCTTTAAACCGTCACATTTCACAAACAAATTAAGATATCGGGGTAAATAAAAAAACCGAATGATCTACTAGCAGAATTAACCTACAGGGTGTGTCAAAAGTAGAGGAAAAAATTGTTTTCTTTCCCCCCTGTATATCTGGCGAATACTAAATTACTTTTAGATGTCCGAATAATAATCTTAAAAGTACAGTATTTTATCTAAAGTTTGCTAAACATTTCAAATAATTCAGCATCCGCATTTGAAAGTTAGAGCATTTTTAAATAAATCATTATTTTGAATGAATCGAATTTTAAGTCGGTGAGTGTATTTGATTATTCATCGCATATATGTGTTATATTTTCATCTGGTCATCCGTTTTCAGACCAGTTGTTTTAATGCATTGTAAAACAGTTATTGTTCCAGATCTTTAAAGATGGACCACTCTAATAAACGGCAGTATTAGGTAAGGGCATCAGACCAGGAATTGAGTTGCCAAGTTACATTCAAATGGAATTCTCTTGTTCAACGGTTGGGGAGCTGTTACAGGAACCTCTGTAGACTAACTGCTGAAGAGTACTGGAAGGTGATTAAGATATGGATAGATTGAAGAGCCGAATATAATGGATGAAGAGGGTGCGTAAAGGAATGAAGGGTCTAAAAAAAGAGAGGGATTGTGTAAAGAAACGAAGGGGTTGATAAATTAAACCGTCTTCGGCGGTTAGTTTCCCTCAACGTCTCCCGAACCATTGAGTTCTCTTGTTCAACAGTTGGGGAGACATTGAAGGAACCTCTGTAGATTAACCGCCGAAGACGAAAAAGTAGTGCTAGAAGGTGATTAAGATATGAAGACGGTGAAGGAGCCAAAGAAGATTAATAAAGATGGTGCGAGGGTGTAAAGGAAAGGAGTGTCCAAAAAATGAACGAAAGGGTTGGTAAATTAAATATTCTTCGGCGATTAGTCTCCAGAGACTCCTTCATCGTTTCCCCAACCATTGAGTTCTCTTGTTCGACTGTTGGGGAGATGTTGAAGGAACTTCTGTAGACCAACCGCCGATGACGAAGAAGTAGTACTAGAAGTTGTTTAAGATAAGCAGACGTTGAATGAGCCAAATATGATGGACGAAGAGTGCCGAGGACATAAAGTACTGGAGGATCTAAAAAAATAGAGGGTGTAAAGGAACGAAGAGGTTGGTAAATTAAACCGTTTTCGGCGGTTAGTATTCAGAGGCTCCCTCAACGTCTCTCCAACCATAGATGGAATATATTTTAACAGCTCACTTCTGGTCTTGTGCCCTTACTTATACCTATACACTGCTGACAGCTTATTTGTTTTATATTTTGCAACTATTTCTTTTTCACTTTTTTTTTATTATTTTGCCTTGTGTGTAACGCACCACTTTTTTTGTCTGTCTCTCCATGTGCACCCGCTAGCTTCTGAAGGCCGCTTTTACCCGCGCGACGTTACGCCAGGCTTTTGTTCTAACGGTAGTACCTTGTCCCGTACAGATGGCGCTGCGACGGAGGACGATGACGACGACGACGATTGGCGCGAGCAAGAGGCCAGTCGGACGCACTCCGTCAAATTTACGGACCCGCAAGAGAAGGATAACAGAGAGGTGAGGAACACTTTGTCTTCTACGTTGTCGTACGCGGTGAGGGTATACAATGCCGTTAAAGATTGGGTGATGAAAAGGTGTTGTGAGAATAGTACGGGGAGTTTGAGCAGAAGTAATAGCTATTATATGCTGAATACGATGAGGGAACTGGACGAAATTTATAATACTAGGACTGAGTACGCGAACGATTGAGTTTTATTATGAATTTTTAGGAGATTTTTTAATAATTCGGATCTCGATAGGGTACAGAATGTCGAAACAAGATTAGAACGATTTTAAAAAAAACTTATTACAATTATTTACCAGTATTAGATTAAAATATTATGAAAAAGTCTGTTTATATAAAAGGTATTTAATTAAAATTATTGTTTTTTGTTTAATGGCACAATATACCGGGTGACAATGAGACCAATTATATCTTTCATATATGAAGCAATTTGAATTAAATTTGGGATAAATCTACTAGACATAATTTCGATGTGACACTTTACAAAATGGTCGACTTCCGATTTTACCGGAAATGCCATTATGTTCGATTTTTTAAACAGATTATTGTATTTTTGTTTTGTTTTTGAAATCTATTCTTTAAATTACATATGATAGTGTTGCCAAATTTAAATTTGTACCAAAAAATGTTTGCAATAGTTTCATAGGTTATTTAAACCGTAGATTTCAAAAACACATATAGTGTGATCTATTGAAAAAAATTACAATTTAGTGGCATTTCCGGTAAAACCAGGAGTCGGCCTTTTTGTTTAAGTAATGCGTTCATTCGAAATTGTCTAGTATGTTTATTACAAATTGCTTAATAAACAAAAGAGATATTAACTGGTCCTGGTCTCATTTTAACCCGGTATAAAGCAGGGTCCTTTCGGTTAAAATCTGTCATCAAAGCGTGTTTTTAAATGCCTAATCCTCAAAAGGCTCTGCGCGCTTTTAATCAATATTTTTAAAATAAGCATCATAATTGGTGGTACATATATGTACCATTCAGAAAAAATTAACAAAATATTATAATCAATTTATTACACGAAAACAATAGTAAAATTCTCAAAAACGAAAAAGAAATTAAACGGAACACAAGCCAAATATTTTTAATTTTTTTTTGTGTTTTAATAACTATTTAGTTTTCTTTTGATCTTGCTAGAGTATCATCAGAAGTGACTTACAAAATAAAGCGCTAACTTACTTCTGTTCGCTTTATTAAAAATACAGTAGTTTTCGTCGAATAATCGTATTACTTTCTGGTACAAATACATACCACATTTGTAGTTAGTTGAACTATTAATTATCGTATGGCTGGCCATAAAAGAAAACATGGTACATATTTGTTTCTCAGAGCGAATCATAGATTGAAATATATACTAAGATCGATGTTCCAGTCAAATAGGACGGGCCCATGATCCATAATAACATATATGTATCAACACACATTAAACGATTTTTTGTAAAAAAAAAAAAAAAATATATCACAACGTTACTTACATACAAGACGAATGTTAAGTAATGTACAGGGTGGGCCACTTAGAAGTTCTACTCCCTCTAATCTTCGTTATTAATTGAAATATCATTTTTTGTTTGTTTAAAAGTTTGGAGCAAGAACTTGATTATAACGGATTCAATTAGTGTCAATTAGTGACGTCACGGCGTACTTCATGTTTTTTCAGAAACAACAGTAAATCGCAATTTACTTTTTATTAACAATTCTGATTTATTGAACATTTTAGGATGATAACCGTTTATTGAAAATGGTCTGTCAGATATCAAAATGTATTATTGATCTAATCTAATTTTTAAATTACATTTACATTTTTGAGATTACTAAAAAATATAAAAAATACAAATAAATAAAATTCAAACGCTCTGCTACTTTCTTAAAATTTTATATACTCGTTTGGCAGCTGTAGCAGGTGTAATTTTTCGCTTATTTCTTTCAAAAATTAAGATGCAATATACTCATTTGGATACTTTAAAGATAAATTATCAATAATACCCCCCAATCAAAGAAATTTACATTTTTTTATAAAAAATTGCATAACATCGGTTTTTTCTATTAAATTTCAATACTCGATTCATATCTAAAAATGTCCGAGAAACTTAAAATTTTCAATAATATAGCGGTTCCTTTCAAAAATAAAAAAATAAATTGACGTTTTTAAGTGTATTATTTCCATGAATACCGGAAATAAACCATGAGAGCATAGTAATAGTAAGAAAGTACCTAACCTCTCAAGAAAAAAGTTAATTCCGATATTTCAGTTAATACAGAAGATAATTTTTAATAGGTTTACCAATAATAAAAATGTTTTGATACGCTACTGATGTAGTGTAGGCCTGAAGTTTTTCCAATATTCTATACTACCCCTGTAACTTTGTAAGGAGCCAGTTTTTGATATAGGTAAATATAGCCAAATCCACTTATTTTTTGGTAATCTATCTGAGGAAGAATTTACGACATACCTGTTTGAAACACCCTGTATATTCTGCTACTGTGAACCCCCAAAATTTTGGTCACCAGCCGCCCCTGGTTATGTCCAGAAAAACAGGAAGTAAGTCATGACGGCACAGAATAATTAAATGCGGTATGAAAAAGTTTTCAATAAAAAAAATTCAATATCTCAAGCGGGTTTAATTTGTTAGTACAAAGAGTTTTTAAAGATAACCAATTCCCAGATTATCTAAAAGAATTATAAATAAAACATTTAGGAATAGTATTATCCAATATGGCGATCATTTTGACAAATGACACATTTTCAATAAACGGTTCTTATCCAAACATCTTCAGTAAGTTAGAATTTTCACATATAATACCACTAGTGTCTAAATTATTTCAAATTCACGATGATCAAAAATTTCCAGACAATAATTTTGGCACGTGTGGTATTCGGTAAGAAAATTTTACACGGAAATATCAAAATTTCAAAACTTGACAGACATGCATTAAAACGACTTAAATCAAATTTGCAAAGTTCGCCATGCCAGTTATGCGTATTAGTCATGTTTGAAGTCTTTTAGTTGACGCGAAAACCCTAATTATTATTTTACTTTAAAGTAAATGTAGTGTATTTCTATCAATAATTGGTAGTAAATAAAATTTTAACAATTGAAATGACAATTTTTTTTAATTACGCCGTTGCGTCGTAATATTATGTGCATGAAAGCGCTTTTCAAGGTCAAAAAAAAATTCCAGTGTAATTTTATGCAGGGTATCCACTATGAAGACTACAGATAAGGAGGCGAATCGGCATACTCAAAATACGGTCCCAAAAAACGCACGCTAATTGAGCTTTTATAATTAACCGCAAGGGCGCTGGTACCGCTTACGGTGTTCAAAATACATGGTTTCTTATGGGAATTATACATAATTTTGTCAGAATAATAAAAATAAACTTGTTTATAGCTAAATAAAGCACAGAACATACTGTTGTATTTATTTATAAATAAGTCTTGCATGTTTTAATTGATAAATTTATCTATATAAAATACAAATTAGGTAGGTACGAGGATGGAATGAAAAGTTTCCGGCCTAACATAGAACGCAACACAGTAGTGACTGAATAAGAATGTATTTTTCTACATAGTCCCCTTGAAGGGTAATACATTTGATGTTCAAGCGATTTAATACCGTCACTGTAGTCTGATTTATCCAACTTGTCAAAATAGGCGTTTGTGGCTGCAATTACTTCTAAATCCGTGGAAAATTTTTTGCCAGCAAGAATTTTTTTTAGATTTGGTAACAAATAAAAGTCTGACGGGGCAAGATCTGGCGAATACGGAGGATGGTCTAACAGTTCAAAGCCTAGCTGATGAATGTTAGCCATTACAAGAACGGACTTGTGGTAAAGTGCATTGTCCTGATGAAACAGAATTTTTTTTTGCCAAACCAGAGCGTTTTCGCTTATATTCTGCTTAAGCTGGTCCAGTAAGTCGATGTAGTACTCGGAATTTATTGTTCTTCCCTTTTAGAGATAATCTATTAGGAGTATCCCTTTAGCATCCCAAAAGACCGTTGCCATGACCTTTCCAGCAGACGGTACTGCCTTTGCCTTCTTTGGAACTGGTTCGTCCTTTGCCGTCCACTGTTTGGACTGTTGTTTAGTTTCAGGAGTATAATGATAAACCCATGTTTCATCAACCGCAATAAATCTACGCAAAAAGTATCCTGGATCACGTCTAAACAGTGCCAAATTCTCCTCTGAAATGGTTAGCTGCGTGAGTTTCTGATATGACGTGAGCAAACGGGGCACCCATCGGGCGGATAGCTTTCTCATACCTAAAACTTCACACAAAATATAGTGAACTGGCTCTTTTGATATGCCCACATTCACAGCTACCTCTTCCAATTTTAATCTGCGATCTTTTAGAATTAGTTTGTGAATGGTTTGTACCATTTCTTCCAAAGTTGCCGTTTTTGGCCTGCCAGAACGCGGAGCATCATCAGTGCTTGTACGACCAAGTTTAAAGTCCGCTACCAAGGTTTTAACTGTAGTAAATGAAGGAGCAGATTCCCCTAGTGTAGCATCTAGTTCAGCTTTTATTTCCGTCGGCGATAATCCTTTGATATGGAAATATTTTATCACCGCTCTTATCTCGTTTTTTTTCCATCTTTTAAAAGTGGCGAATTTTATAAGCTTTTAAAATACCCAGGACACAAACTACTTGACGCACTCACTTTAAACTTCGAGCGTATACAGACGACAAGCAAGGCACACATACACGTTGGAACAGGAAAGCAAATCGGGCCTACTATAGGTTAGGTCGGAAACTTTTCATCCCATCCTCGTATGACCAAATTCGAAAAGGTTTGTTAAATGCTGAAATTTGATAAGTACAATTTTATGGCAATTTTTTTTTAATTGATCCTATATATTGTTTTAAGAAATAAAACACAGTTAACAGATTTTTTATTGTTGTAATACAAGTATAAAGGGAGATTTGAGAATGTACATGGTACTACCTCATCCTTTAATTTCAGTTTTCCCCTTTTTAATTTGGCTAAC